GGGGGGGGGGGGGGGGGGGGGGGGGGGGGGGGGGGGGGGGGGGGGGGGGGGGGGGGGGGGGGGGGGGGGGGGGGGGGGGGGGGGGGGGGGGGGGGGGACACGTCCCTCATGCCTGTCAGAGGGTCCCTGGGCCACGGACTCTTAACATCCAAATCAAAGTGCAGACCCCTACGGGGATGAGGGTGTAGGCGCAGGATAAAGAGTAGGCTCTTGTGAGCCCGAGTGCCGCAGCCATCTCACGCACGCGCACACACGTGCACACACACACACACTCTCACACACACTCTCACGCATGCCCCGTCCCTTCTCCCTAGAAGATGTGTCTGTTTTTAGGAGTTGGTGTCTTGTACCCGTGGGAGTCAGGAGACGTAGAGGGAAAGTCCTCAGAAGGTTCTGAATGCCTTCCCCTTTGGGGTCTGCTGGAAGAAACAGCCCCAGGAGTCAGGCTGCTGTGGCCTGAGTGGCGAGGGGCTCGTCTTCCACTCCTCTTGTGAGCACGTCAGCACTTGTCCTGCTGTGGCCCACCAGCTGGTGCAGGAGCCCTTCTCACTGCCCTGACTGAGCTCCAGCTGCCTCCAGGGAGGAGAGTGAATGGAGAACATGTAGGCAGCCCTGTTCTTCTGGTTGTCCCTGTGGAAATGCACTATGACCTGCTTTAGTCCTTAGCGTGAGTCCTGTGCCCATGAAGCAGACATGGGAAGGGCTGCCTGAGTGGGCCAGTTCTCTGTGTGTGCATTCACGTGTACACGTGTTCGTGCGTGTGCATGCATGTGTGTGTACATGTGTGCATACAGCATCAGTGTGCCAGCAACACCAGGGGCTTTGGAGGAGCAGCTTGCCAGGTGGTCATGTGGGGATAGCCTGTCCAGTTTTCATGGCAGAAAGAGTTGCATGTATGTTGTGAGGTTTACCCTGTATTCTGGTGACCCAAGGAGGTCTCCCAGTGAGGCTCAGTAGCCACTTGGAGCCAGCTGCTCTGCTGCTGACCCACAAGCTGGTCCCATCAGTTGATGGAGAGCTGGGCTCGGGCTCAGTTTCCCCGGAGCTGCCTCTCTCCACCTGTGCTCAGTATGGGGAATAATGTGGAGGTCTTTTGGGGGGCCTGCAGGGGGAGGCTGCTGTAGGCTAGGGAGGGGAGGGGAGGCCTTAGGGATGTCGATGCATGTGGAGGTGTAGAGGGAGAGGATGTTCTGTGTGGAGTGGGCCAGGAGCCTCCATGGTTCCTGCTGTTGGGGAGGAGGCAGGAGTAGTGCAGTGGGTCAGGTTGGAGTGGAGAGCCCTGGAGGGTCAGGGGCCCAGGATACAGTCCCCGTGGATGTGGAGGAGGCCTGCAAGGTCAGAGGGCACCTCCAGAGGGGAGGTGGTTGGGCACTAGGCCGGGAAAGCCTCATGGACGTTCCTCCCATGTCCAGATCAACTGGGAGCACCTTGATGGGCTGTGGGTACGAAGTTGGGGACTCTGCAACCTTGGTGCTTAATCATCACCTGGAACCTTCACTGCTCTTTCTTCCTGGAGCTCTGAACCACTGATGGTCTTGGTGATCCTTCTTGGGCTTCCTTTCCCTAGAGAGCTGCTGCAGGGGTCGCTCCTGTGTCTGTGGCCTCAGCAATGAGAGTGGGCAGTGGTTCAGGGGCCACTGTCTGGAGCGAGCTTGTGGGATGTGAGCCTCAAGTCCTGCCACTGGCTGGAAGCCACCATGTAGGCTGAGCAAAGGCAGTGCCCAGGCTCCAGCAATCTAGTTTTGGGTTTCCTCTTAGATTGCCCCTGCCCACCAATGAGACCCCAGCAGGCTGCAAAGCCCCCCCCCCCCCCCCCCCCCC